TTATTCATAATATATTGCACAGCCAGGCGTGGTGGCGCACGCCTGTAATCCCAGCACTCAGGAGGCTGAGGCAGGAGGATCGTCGCAAGTTCAAGACCAGCCTGGGCTACAAAGTGAGCTCAAGGCCAGCCTGAATTGCACGGCAAAACCCTGTCTCAAATACAAAAACAAAAAAAAAGTCATAATATATCGCACAAGCCTAATTAGAGGCTGACTATACAAGTCCCTTGCTGCAGGAGGATTCACAGACCGCAAGGCGCCAGGGCTGGGGTCCTGAAGGCCAGTGGGTAAACAGGACGACTGCTTTGGAAAGGAACGAGCAGAGACCTCAGGGCATCTTACCTGGGTGAGAGGTGTGGATTTCTCAGAGGGCTTCTTGGACGAGGCCACGCTTGACTTGAGTATTGAAGGCAACTGATGGTGCGCAAGTGCAGGAGAGCACGTCGTCGAGGAAGGGACCGCCGGCTGTGGGAGAGGATGAGGCAGAGGACTTGTGAAATCAGAGAGGAGACTGGGGAGCGTGGGAGGTGAGAAGTGACGAGAGGTGTGGTCAGGGTATCGGGTGGAGGGGAAGAGGAAGCTGACCCCAGGCTCTGAAAATCCCCTTTAGCTAGGCCCATTTTGTCCTGCAGGTAGAAGAGAGCATTAAAGGGAGTGAGAACTGAGACCTTCAGATTTATCTTTGAGGAAGCAGGACAGAATTACCTGGAGACAGAGCCCACCATCAGAGAGGTATGCGGGAGGCTGGAGGGCAGGGGGGTGATTGTTCATGGCCTCAGAATGGTGGTGACCGTCCCAGGGCTGGGGACTGCTGGAGGAAAGGGGGAGGGTGACACCAAGTTGGGCTTTGAGAAAACCAGAATAGAATGCCTAAGGGCCCGGTGTATTTGAATCTCTCTATGCTCCCGTTTCCTCATCTGCAAAGCGAGCGCGATAACAGAAGTGAACACCTCTTACTGATAATGGAAGTTTGAGTCAGTAAGACAGTCTGCTTAGAAGAGCGTGTAAGCAAGCAGCCAGCTCAGCGTCACTTCTCCGGGCCCAGCAGACGCAGGGACCCTGCTCTGAGGGAAGCTGACAGCTCCGAACTACCCCAACACTGCCCACCGCAAAGATGAAACACACTTTAGAAACTTCATTGTTTGGCTTGAAGACCAGAAAATCAGGCACTAAAGATCAAAGAGAGAGGTAATTTAAGAAACATCCCCAGCAGCGACTGGCCCAAGTTCTTGGGGAAGTACCTCAGAGCTGTTAACTGTCCTTCCAAGATTCAGGATGGATGGGAAGCAAGTGACTAGCTTCTTGGTTTAGCTGTTAGACTTGAACATGGAGATAATGCTGAAAAACACAAGGACCTAACACCGGGTGATGCAAAAAATATTGACAAGGCAGAGCCACTGTCAATTCGGCTGTAAATAATTCCAGTTTTAAGGCTGGTGTAATGGCTTTGGCTAACCTCCTATAGATTTAGCCATGGTGATCTGCATTTTGGTTCAGGAACACCTAACACAGGATGCAGCGGTAGGCACTAAAGAAAATTAAACCAAAGAGAGTTTGCCTTTTGCTTTAGACAAACATTATTGGGTTTTTTGGGGGGGGTTGTTTTTGTTTTTTTGTGTTTTTGCGGCAAGATCTTGCTACGCGGTTCATGCTGGCCTTGAGCTATGGAAAAGGAGTGCCGCACTGTTGCAGGCCGCCGGGCGACAGGGCGGGGAGAAATGAGGAAGTCCTGGCTCTGGCAACAGAGGCGGTCAGGGACCCTGGCAAGGCCAAGCTGGCATGGGCTGAGGGTGAGGGACATGGGCAGCAGTATCCCCTGGAGGGGGGCAGCTGCAGGGAGACCGCAACACCACATGACTGGAAAAAAAGCCTTTGATACAGTATCCAGAGCTGAAGAAAACTGAGATAAATTCCATAAAAGAAATCATGACAGAAAAATCCACAAACGGCAAAGGACAAATAGCTCAGATTCTGGGCAAATTGAAAATTACTTAACCAGAAGAAGGCGGGAACTGAAGGCTGACCTCACAGACAGAGTAAATGCCAGTGAGGTCTCAGCCCTCAAGGATGCTGAAACCCTCTCGGGCTTGATTTATTCTTCTCCTTTTCCTTGTTCCCTTGCCCCAGGGTTGGGTCTCACCCTTGTCTTGGAGGAGATGAGGAGAGTAGAAGAATGAGACCCCATCTCTTTCCTCAAGCTGTCCAGCATGTCCCTCTGGTGCTCTGCCCACTCAAGGTGAATTCTAATGGGATAAAAACAAAGGTAAGAACTCTCTTCTGGCCAGGGTGGTGGCGCACACCTGTAATCCCAGCATTCTGTAGGCTGAGGCAGAGGATCGTTGCAAGTTCGAGACCAGCCTGGGCTACAAAGTGAGCTCAAGACCAGCCTGAACTGCAGAGCAAGACCCTGTCTCAAAAACGGCAAAACAAAACACAAACAAACAAACAAACAAAAGAACTCACTTTTGCCAAGAATGAATTGAAATCATAAAAGTGTATAACAGAAAAGAGAGCTAAGAGCAATAAAGGGGCAGACTTGCATCTCAGCCCAGGGGAGCTATGCGTCCGCTAGGCTCAGCTCTCTACATCTGGCGCCCTGGTGTTCAGAGCCCAGTATGAGCCAGGGGCCGATCAAGGGCAAGAGCGGGGTCTGGAGGGTCTGGAGAGCAGCCAGCCCTTCCCACTGTCTGCCGCTGGCGTCCCAGACTCACTAAGTTTGTGCTCCGACCCTGAGCCCGGGGTACTGGGGAAGAAGGTTCCAGCCAGCTGTAGGCAGGAGGGGCTGCAGCTGCTCCAGCACATGCAGGGGTGGGGGCAGAGGTGTGGAAAACCCAGGTCAGAAGCTGCTGCCTTAATTCGGGTCTCATTTGCCTACGCTAAGTGGACCTGAGCAGTTCTGAGTCTCCTCCCTGGGTCATTTGTTTTGTGCAGAAAGAACAGAACCGAAACTGGAGGGATTTCTCAGCCTATTTCCATGTCATCCTGCCCCACGGGACCTGAAAGGAGTCACACCGAAGTTCCTGCCTGTCTTCTTGCCACATACGATCTGCCTCACTTCCCTGTCTTCGAAGGACAACTCCATTGTGTCGCAGGATTTTCTTCAGCTAGGATTTCTTTTCATTCTATCTACGGTATAGAAACACAAATACGCACAGATGCTCAGAAAGCGGTCCCTTTCTCCAGGCACCAAGGTCTAGCTACCCTCCTGGTCCCTGGGCAGAGCATTCTGCGGGGATGATTTAGGAGCGCTGGAGGATTGCAGTCAATGGTTGGGAAGCACGGGGCAGGAAAAGGAGAAGCAAGCGTAGGGTAATGACAGCTTGATGGCAGAAAAAAGGAGCTGTGATAATACCGACATGTATCACCATACCATTTATTCAGATTAATTCATTGCAGGGCCGGGGATGTAGCTCAGCAGCACAAGTGCCTGCCTGGTAAGCGCAAGGTCCTGAGTTCGATTCCCGGTACCAAAAAAAAAAAAAAAAAAGGCCAAATTAATTCATTGAATTTGCATAACAGGCCTGAGTG